CTAGTTTGATAGAGAGAAATCCAAAGGTGTTTGAGCCATTACTCTTCGGTTCCAACTCCGTGGAGGATCATGTCAAGAAAAGCAAGATCACAGGAACTTGGGCTGAAACTGTGCCGGACATTTTCAGCAGTGCATCGCTCTTTAAGTGACACATTTGCACCTTCTCATTGTCGTACAAAAAATGGTACAACTTTGAACCGATTTTGAACACTGATTCGTTTTCATCAATCACAACAAAGAAGTGCAGGTGTCCAATCACTTTAATGTATCACAATGATTATGCCCAAGCAAACCATTTTATATCCTTCTGCCTAAAGGTAGCTGTTGTAGTGCTCCTCTGCTTGAGAATACAGCATCCTCTGTTTCAATATATTGGAAAACAGTGGTGATTCATATGCCAGAGCTGTGAAACATTTAGCATCACAAACTTATGGTTCCTTTAAGCCAACTTCAATTAAAGCTACAGAATCCAAGCAATATGGTCAAGATGTAACTTCTATAAACACAAAAACTTTATCTCCATATTTTAAAACAACGGTGAAAATGCCATTTCCATCTCCAAATGCTACTATTGCCAAACAAACCTCTTCTGTGACACAACCAAATCCTGCGACATATACCAAACCTTTAGCTGTCCAACAACCACCTTCCACCATGACCAGTTCCCAAACATCTACAGATAACTCTACATGTACCACTACCAAGCAACCATCTCCAAAACAAACCATTGCTACATGTTTTAATCTCAACTTTGACCAAATGGATGTGAAACAAATTAAAGCATTTATTTTTGTGCAGGGAGTTCAAGTCAAATGATGAAGAGGGGAATTATTTTCTTGACAAAAATTATATACATTAATTCCAAGTTGAGACTGGCATAGCAGTTTCAGGTTTAAAACTTGTAATTTTGTTACACATACAAGTAAAGGGATATTTATTGTGACAGTTAATTTCGTAAAATGAGTTCTGGGAAACTGTTGTATCAACAGTTTACAAGTTTTATTGTAAGCAAATGGTTTCTTCTTTCCTTATGAAAGCCTTACATAGTTACAATTTTCCCATGAAACAGTTATCTCAAAGTCAAGAAGATCAACAAAATCACTAAATAAAAGTTTTTGCTACTGCAGTCTGAACCTTACTTTATGCTTCTTCTACATAATGGAATTTCTGGTGTTTGAGTGCCAACGAATAAGCCGGAAATTAAATAATTCTGCGGCACGAGAGCAACAGGACAAGGGCCTGGGCCCTTGAGTATAGATGCATTATGGGTATAGTGATACGAGTATTAAAGCTTGTGATTGCACGTGGACAATCTTTCTAGGCCGACACCTTCTCAGTCATTGCTAAGTTTATTTATTTATTTTTTTTTGTAAGTATGCATATAGCCTAGTAGGAAGGTTACGTGAGCTTGGGCCTGGTTCCTACCCAGATTTGCTGTCTCTTTTTCCCTACGAGGTTTTTTATGGCAGGTTTTTTCTGGCCGCCTTTCTAACCACGATGTTTGCTAGTGGTTGCTAAGCTCTGAGTATGTCTTTTTGTCGTGTGCTTTGGTAACGATTAGCGAGAATGCAACGGTTTTCTATGTGTTTCTTCATTATTGTACGCTGGTGCTCGGCCGAAACATGCAAAATAAACCTAATGGTTCACTATATTAGTGTCTGTTGACTAGTGTAGCTGAAATAATTAGTTAAAGCAGCACAAACAAAAATAACTCTATCCAACATTGCTTTTAGCAGAAGGGGAATAACTCCTGAAAGAATTCTAATTTGTTTGAATTTCAAAATGTTTATTCCAATGTGAGGAAGAATATTTTGCTTTGATCATTGTCACAACCCCACACAGCACAATTTAAAGATTGCCACGAGGCCTATTTCCAAAAACATTTGCGGTCATGAGCTTAGAAATAAACTAGACGTAGACTGTATGTCAAGATTTCCATATCACCTCATACTTCATAATGCATTCAATTCTTGGATAAAGGAAAGCAGTGGCAAAACAACAGATTTTCTTTGGGACAGTGGCTTTGCTTTTAATTGCGCGGGTTATATGGTGGCTTTAATTTTAATGGCGCGGGTTATATGGAAGTCTTTCGTATTTATCTTTACGAGATGTCGATTTTACAGTAAACCTTGTACAAGGGGAGAATTTTATTGGTACATTTTATCACATATTTCATGGTTACTTAAAAAAAAACAGTTTACACTTCCCGCGAATCAACATTGCTCTCATCCTTTTCTGATAAAATGGCTGCAAAAAGGCACTGAATTCTCTCCAGAATGAATTTTTTGTACGTCAAAACAACTTTTTGCCAGACATTTCGTTTTAGCAACTTGCAAGGTTTTCCCATGCATGGCGATCCCAGAACCCTTTGTACATAGTAGAGGGATCCGGTTACTAGCAACTCATTCATTTCTAAACAACACAGAGATGAGGTCCTTAGGCTTTACCAGATGGTTCTTGAAAAAAAAAATTTAGAATTAAACACGTGACTTACTCAGTGTGATGATTTTTGTTTCCACACTTTGGTATTTAGGATCTGTCAAATTCTCTACATTCCCGAAGCTCCTGAGTTTTCACCATTTGAAATATATAATATAATTATTACATATAATTTTTCACTTTCTGTGGGTTCATCAAATGTATCAAGGTACAAGTATGTGTAATGTACTAAGTACAATGTATAATGGTTGACAATGGTTGAAATCATCATCTCTGCCACGTAAATTTATTGTGCTTTTATGAATGGCATTAATCATCTATTAGGAGGATTTACTTTTAGTTGTTCAGCCAGACAGTTCCATGGTTGAAATGCTCATTCAAAGTCATCTCTGTCTCAGCCACTTGAGTTGTATGCACGTCGAGGGGTGGTAACTCAATGCTGCTTTGTTGGATACCTTTCTAGTGTACATCCCTGCCTAGTAGAAGGCAAATCAGCCCACTTTGTTCCTTTTGTTTCAGAATATTTGTCACCCTTTTGTTCCTCTGTTTTCACTAACTCACTGTGAGGCGTGAGTAGTCCAGTGGTCAGTGCGCTAGACTCTGGGTCAGACGCTTCACTCACATTGCTTCGTCTTCTCGGATAGGACGTAAAGCCGGAGGTCCCGTGTCCTGCACCTATCAATTAGTTAATTTCGGCAGGGGACGTTTAAAGAACCCACATTACGAGATTACTGTGATGTGGTCTGGCCTGTTTACTGGGATTAGGGGGAGGGAGCATCTGTAAAATTTCTCCTTTATTAATTGTAAAATGCCGCCGGCAGTCTGGAAAAGTCCCCCGCACAGTGTTGTAAAGCGCATTAAAGCATTTACATGGAGATGCGCTATAGAAGTCGATCTATATTATTATAAAACTTACTCAGATTTCTTCCCCTCAGGAGCCACGGTGTAATTGATATTGTCATGATCAGACACGCAAGTTATAAGAATGATCACAGTTTTGTTACAGTGCTGTAGCAGACGATCTTTCAAATCAGTTACTTTGATTCATATTTAGAAGTAGAGAGCTGTTGCAGTGAAGGAGAATTGCTTTGATTTTGTCATGTTAATAAATTTTTTTTGCTGGAAATAAAAAGGTGAAAGACATTGATGTAGTGAGTACCACAGATACAAATTCAAGTTTTTGATTGGAAATCAATTTTTTATTTAATACCTTGCAGAGCAAGTAATTGTTGCTTCATACAATTTTGATGGAATGTAGAGAGAGTATGGAAGTTTTAAAAAGCTTGCAAAAGTACAAGTAATTACCTCTAGTACAGTATGAAAAGACAAGGCAGTCGTTATAGAATGATAACCTATTAATGCCCCTGGGGACTGAAAAGCCAAGAAATATTAAAGAATTAAGGTATCATACAACAGCAACACGCCTGCTAAAAAAAAATTATAAACAAAGCACTATAGTTCCCATTATATGGGAAAATAATAATAATGAAAAAAAGCAGATTAAGACAAGTTAACACTCTTGCCTTTAGAAATCAAAAACTTAATGCAAGCCAATACCCTTTTCTGTCACCAGATTAGGACACAATTCACTTTTTGCTTTTCAGAATCAACAATTCAAGCCAATACCCTTTCGGTCTTCATGTTAACCCTTCACCTCCCAGAAGTGATGAAGTAAACATAAAACTTCTCCCTATCCTATCCATACGTTATCCACCAAACATGCTATGAGAGCACTCAAACTACTCTACTCCTGGCCAGTTGGTGTTGTTATCCTGATCTAAAAGCAAAAATTAATTTCTCATTACTACGGGATTTACAAGGAAATGTGTAGCAGCCAGAGGAGAGAATTAATAAACAGATCTTGGGAGTTAAATGGCTAGAACACAAGTCAACACGCTGACAATAACAGCAATTTACAATACAAGCTCGAAAAGAATTATCACAGGAACACAAAGAGCGTTTGAAATAAAGCTTAAGAGCCACAAGCGAAAAAGATGAACACAAGCCAGCAAGCTAAATAACTAGACTCTCTGGCTCTAACAGAGGTCTTTACAACACTAGCAGACAAGATAAGTGCTTTATAATTGTGGCTCACCACGATTAATTACAACGACAACTTTCAACTTAAAAGGATTGATTAGCCAAATGACTCCTTCGATTTACCCCAAATAGCAATGAACGTACATAGTAAAGGAATAAAACCTTTTAAGAGGTCGATTCGTTCAAAGCTTACAGAAAAAACGGCGTACGAATTTACAATTGGCTCAAGCTTTAGCGTGCACTATCGAGTTTTGGAGGAGGCGGGAAATTTGGAGAGCACGAAAGAAGCGTAAGAGTTGCCCAAGGCAGGTAGTTTGAAAAGTATGGAATGCTGGAGTTCGGAACCGGAACCAGAATACTCGGAATACCCGGTACCATTGCAGAAGATTAAAAAAATGCAATATTTCCAATCAGTCTTTGAAAAAATTACTCGTGCTTATTTATTCCAAATTGCTCTCAAAATCATGTTATTACCTATACCAATTTACTTTTACTTATTGAAAATTTATTATTTTTCGATCATTCCGGGTATTCCGAGTATTCCGGCATTCCATATCTTCCAAACTACCCCCGAGGCAGTAGCCGAGGAGAACTTTAGCTTCTTGTTTAACTTTTTGCCAACGTGCGTCTTGGAATCCATTCTCCGCGCGGCCAAAAAAACCCTTTCGAGCCTCCTTGTTATTCGGTGTAGCTTTAAACAAATGTAACGTTAAACATATTTGCGCCCTTCAAATTGCCAAATAACTAAAAAAGAAAAAAACCTCATGGACAGTTCTAAGTTTCAAAAAGCGAGGAAGCTGTCTTTGTTACCTCTATTTTTTCGACTTTAATTGATGGCAGGGCAAATTTCTCATATTTTGGAGCTTGTGGAAGATCTCACTGAAGCAAATGGGAGATAATAAAATTCAAAGCTAAATTACTTCCAGCGAGCACCTTCCTTTGTGGTGCTCTAGCTCAAAAACGAAAACCGCTATGTTAATACGAACTACAGAAAACTTGCACAGCCCAAACCTTGATGATATCGATAGTGATAATGGCTACTTGAGGCAAGGGATCTTTCATTCGTGTGCATGTGAGCTTTTAACGCAACGAAAAAACGAAAGAAAATTTGGTGTACAATTAACGCGAATCTTTGATTCAAACTTTGCCTCTGCCAAGCGTTTTTATGTCCCTACATGATATTTATTTCACAATTTCACTCGGAAAAATGTCACAAATATATGTTTACCCAATGCCTTTAACCATATTTGCCGATCGCTCAATTTAACTGCTGAAGCTCAAGGGAAAGATATCTTCTGTCTTCGAGACATTAATTCATTAATGTAATCACTTGCTCTTGGTTAGTTTCCCTTGTCAAGAGAGGTCAACAATGAAGGTTTATCGGTTTCCCATAGCGAGAATCAGTATGAATTTGGACATGTCAATTTGCCAACGCTAGGGAAGGTCAACCTCTGCTTAAGATCTTCCTTTTTTAGAAAAATAACTTAACTTGGTCTGATCAAAATTAGTTGGTTACCGCCATCCTATCCCCACTAAAGTCTAACAGAGGTTCTTCCTAAATTGCAATTGACTGATACGCACGTAGGGAGGTCAATGAACGGACAGAGTGAGCGACTGGGTCACTGCATTGATTAAATAAGTGACCATGAGAGCCCATCAATCAATCGATAGATTGTTTTGCTTCCTTACAGTGTTTTGGATCTCTTTTTCAAAACTCCTAATCCTGTGCATGAGATATCCACCCAGTCATTTTCTTCTTCATTTTCTTCCTTTTCCAACTTTTTCGCGCACACCACAGCCCGTGTCATTTCTTCCTCGGCTTCGCTGTTTCTTCCGAGACCCCGCAGAGCAATGGACATGTCTTGGTGAGTGTGAATCAGTTGTTAATGTGTATCTGACACTTCCTCTTGCAAATCAATTGCCTCTTTAAGATACTTAGTGCACTAAAAGAGAAAGCAGTAATAATTAGTAATCTGCCTCACTTTAATTTATTCCTCATGGAAGAATCCCTGATGAAGAATTCGAAGTAAGGGACAGTTTGACGTTCCTTATAGTTGCAATCTACGTAAAACGCAAATCCTAGTGGAAAAGAATGGCATCCTTCGTCTGAAATTAAAATGGGTATAGAACCTTCTCGCGCGGCTACCGAAATATTGCGGGCGCACATTTCAGTCATTCAACAGTATACATCCTTCCAAGGCATTTCCCAAATAGGGCATCACGGCCAAGAGTAATTAACAACTATTCATCGAAGTGGGGGTGGTTAGTGGTGGATTTTTACCGAGCTGCGAAGCGGCGAGGTAAATATCCACTGCTAACCACAGACACTGAGGTGAATAGTTGTTTTAGTATATACTAAAACAGTGAGATAATATACACCACAAAAAATTCATTTGAGTGATTTCTTCGCTTGTCATGGATACAAACCCGGAGGCCATTTTTTCCCGAGTTGCTCGGAGGTAAATAGCAAAGGATATTCGGAGTTTGACTAGCCAATCAGAGCGCGCCTTCAACGCTATCCACTGTTTTAGTATATACTAATGATTGTTATACATTAGGCTTGCTATGAAAACTCTGATTGCTCAAGAGCATACATTCGTGAAAATACAATAGCGAGTTAGGTTAGCACGATAACCCAATATCTGCTACAGATATTGGGTTATCTTGTCCAGTTCAAAATCTTCGTAGTTTCCAGGCCCCTTGTTGGTATGGTGTTCTGAAACTTTTGCAAACTTAGGAAGAAGTGTCTTCTTTTGCAGATTGTTGAAAAAATTTATTACTGATGATACCATTTTTGAATTCAGTTTTCGCATGGTATCATGAATTATAACTCAGACCTGGGCAAGGATAATTTTGGATATCACGCTTAATCTCATCCAATAATTGCTTAGTACAGGAATGACTAATAAGATATTTGGGAATAGATAGCAAAGTTTCTAGTTATCACCTTGAGTAATCTTCTTTCGCGTTCAAAGCCACTCCCAAATCATGAAGAGACATCGCAGTTTCCTGATGGTGCCCCAACAGTTGCTTTCGCATTTCAACTGATTTACTGATGTATTTAATAGCATTTTCATAGTCGCCCAAGGCGTGGTAACTGTTACCAATCCAGTCCAGTGTTGTTGCCGTGAAAGGGTGGTCTTCCAGGTTTTGTTCATAGAGCGGAAGCACATGGCAGAGTCTTGTTTGGATAGCACACATGTGTATCCTTTGTACCATTAGGGAAGCTGTAAGGACCACAAATAAAAAGGAGGAAAGAATCAACTATAGTTAAAGTTTAACATTGCCTGATTGACCGCGCATTTTATAAATAATAGAATAAGAGGGGAGTAAAAATGCACAATTTTTTCCCAACCTGCTACATCATTATAACACGCTCCTAACATGAATTTATCTTTGGTCTCATCTGATTTTTCTTCTCTCTTTCTTCTTAATTCTAGGGCTTCGTTGAGGTATTCAAATCCTTCTTCAATGCGTCCCTCTCGAACACAACAGAACCCAAGCTTACTCAAGCAGTGAGCACGCACAGCTTCATTCACGTCCGTAAGTTTTGAATGAATGTGTTTAGCGTGGGCCAAATATCTCTTCGCTTGATACAACGCTCTTGGACAAATTTACGGTGTCCATGTGCAGCTCAATACTATTTTCACTCCGATGCTTGTCAAGCAAGCACTTAATAGGTCGTTGTTATCCTGACATCGATACGCAAGCTTGCAGAAGAGGGACACAAACTCTNCGATAAACAGAACGTATGATTAGGGTGCATAGTGGTATTTGACATGGGTGTGATAGATTTTCGATTTTCGGGAAGAAATTACGGTGTAATCTTGCAAATAGATTTTGGACCTAGTCAACTCGCTAGTAGTGTATTTGTGCCAAAAGTGAGCACGAATGCGGTAGGGTGAGAGCACTCGCCTGCCACTGAGGTGGCTCGGGTTCATTTGCTATTAGATGATGGCTGCAGGGGCTGTGCTCTATTTACTTCTTAATTCATTTCATATTTTTTTTTATACATGATATGACTTAATTTCATTCTTAAGTAGGTAATATTCTTTGTCAATGATTTTTATCCATTTTATTTGTGTCCCCTCATTAGTATGGGATATCTCCCAAACTAGAAGGTTCTTTGACACCTTAATACAGTTCCTATCTACCTACCTACCTATCTATCTATCTACCTACTTACTTATCTATCTATTTATCTATCTATCTATCTATCTATCTATCTATCTATCTATCTATCTATCTATCTATCTATCTATCTATCTATCGAACCATTGCTAATGTTGTTACTTACCAACTGAGCCTGGAAATTGCTTTGATATTATCCGAATAGCATCATTACGCTGGATCCTGTCCAACGCATTTGTAACGTCACTTAAAGTTTTCTGCGTGAGATTCGCAGCCACTCATTCAATGACTTCCTTTGTGGGACTTTTCGAATTTTGTCCTGTCACACCAAATCCTTGACGCACGTCATCGGGCACGTTCAGTTTGTAGGCGAGATGTTTCCAACTTTTGACACCTAGTACTTCTTCGCGGTTAAGTGTTTCTGCCATTGTCTCCACAAGCTCCGGTTCTTGGGACATTAAGTCCTTCAGGAATACTTCATATGCAAGAGAAAAAGACCAGAAAATCTAAAACCTTAGACTCTGTGTTGGTCTTAACTAGAGAAAACGTTCTATATTTCAGCTACCACTCGTTTCATTGATCTGTAAATGCGGAGAATTTCATCAAGAGGCAAGTTATGTCTAGAAATAGCTCTAGTTTTTGAGGGAAAAACCATGGCAATAGTGCTTAATCCTTCGACGGAAAGACCAAAACCTGCAATTATGCAGCAATTCAGATTTCAGAGAGAAATTCAGAGAAAAGACTAGGGAGTAATGTCTAAGGTTAGGCTAGACAATCTTCATCAGTACCAAGGTTTTGCTGGTTTCTGCCTCGAGCTCAAAAGATCATTCATCATCATGTATCTCAGATAGATGTTTACCGTAAGTACCTCTTTGATTATGTTCTTCTAGAATTTTTAGTAGATCCTTTCTTTGAATGGAATCCAGGGCATCTATCAGACTTCTCAGTTTCATTTCGGGACAAGTGGTAACCAAATACTGCAAGAGATTGTGGGTTGGATTATCCGTTGAACGTCGTTCAAACACCCAACAAGTTTTTCTTGGCACTCCCAATTTTATTGCTAGGCTGGACCAGCTTGATAATGCCAGAGAGGTAACGTCTAAGGCCAATGCAATTTCGTCCAAAACCGACACGAGTCAATTTCAAAATCCATGTCTGGTGCAAGGGAGGAAAAGTCAGTTGCACATTGTTGTAGTCCTTCCAAGGAATTTTGTTCGTAGAAGTTACAAGCGTTTCGACAATTTTCGAAAAATTGCAAACGGCGACCAACTTTGAAACTATACGAGCAAGTTTTGGAAATACTTTCGCGTAAGGGAAGCAAAATTCTTATTCCATATCGATTGCTTTAATAATATATAGCAATCATTTTAATAGCCCTCGATTTTAACGTAGGCAAATTTTATTGCTATCATGGGGGAAGTTTTTGGCTGCATTTAGGTTAAATCGCTAAGTAATTTTTACTGAATGTCTCGGATTACAATTCATAATGTAAATTTTTCAGCTAGAGTAAAAGGTGATTTTTTTAATAGATTATTTTCTTTTCTCTCACGAGATAGCCCCATAGCTTCTTGATTATTTTTTACTTAAACCAAGAAAAAGAGTGCTTGGTTTAGCGTAGTCCTTACTTTTTTTGATACGTTCAGTTGACAGTTTCGACTGCTCTTAGCCGTCCTATTCAAACCTTATGATATCGTTCAAAGGTATAAATTATAATAGTCCAGTTCTAGCGTGGAAAGTGATTGCATTCAAGTGAGCTATTCATTATATAGATGTCCCCCTTCCCCGACCCTCCTGGAGGTGGTGGTTAAGGTGGGAATCACTTATGTCTATTTGGAAGATAGCTGGCATGCTCCCTTCTTCCTATTCATTGAGGGATCTCGACATATATAGAGGTTTTGCACAGCAGCCATGTTGCATGGCAGGAACAATAGATTATTTTTCCCATGGGAAAAAAAATTCTTTCTCATGCAAAATATTTTCATTATTCCTGCCATGCAACATGGCTGCCATGCAAAACCTCTATAGTGACTTTACACGCCTTCAGGAGTGCTATAGCGTTGTGCGCTTGTGCTTGATTGACAGAAAGGGAGCTTAATTCTATCGAACTGTAGAAAATAACTTTTTAAAGAGAAATTTAGAATCACGGCTGGACTCTGGCCTGATCAATTCCTACCATAAAATTCCATATTTTTTCTTAAATTTGTCCTATGAATTTTTTATGAACATTTGTAATGGAAGGCTGGCGATCGGGTTAAATTAAAATGTATCCTTCCTCACTTGCTCCCAGTGAATATGCTATACACAATCATACCTTTTGTCAGCAAACTAAACAAGTCGTTCCTCCCAATCTCCAGCAGAGTGTCTTCCAGTTGTTCAATAGACAGATCCGGTTGAGTGACCGAGAGAAATTCAAACAATCGGATGGTAGGACTGTAATCACTATACTGTTTCTCCAGTCGTCGGATTACATCTGCGTTGATATCAAGCTCCGATGCCAAATGTTTCCCGTTGGGAATTAGTCTCATTTCTTTGTCCAAGCATAAGGCCAATTGCTCTAGGAGCTTTGGTCTCTCTTCAAGGATGACTGACAATGTACACTCTATAGATAGAAAACAAAAATAGGATGGAAAATGTTAATTTGAGCTATATAGCAATTAAATTGTGCGCTCGAGATTTCTATTGCGTTATATTGGAAAGCAAAGCCGAATCAGTCCTCACGTGTAGAAATCGAGAGCGAATCATCTAAACTGTTTTAGTTTAAACATATCTGTCGTTCAAACCTTAACAAGATAGGCTCGTGTTTTCTGTTTATTTTGTTTGTAACCGCTCGCTGTTGGGCTATTTGACCCACCCTCTACCACCCAATAGATCGCGACTGGCCTAGCCAATAAGATTGCAACATGCTACTTCGTTGATAGAAGATTAATTCTAAAAGAAATTTGTCAGAAACGACTCTGGCGAAGCTAGTCCTCTCTAATTTTTTTTTTTTGTCGTATGCAGTGTTCAAACATATTTTGCAAGACAAGAGCTTTGCCTTAGCTTTAAAAGAGACAATATATGTTCCATTTAAGTCTCCTTTCACCTTTGTTTATTTACCTATGAACTCACTCAAGCACTGAAAAAAACAGGCTGACATGATGCTGACATGATGCTGACATGATGCTGAGTCACTATAGCATCGATATTTAAAGTCCTTAGCCCGGACAAACCCCCAATAGCATGTTAGTTTAGATACAAACATATCAAACTTCAAAGAACAAATCAAAACCATGGTATGCTTAAGATTTCGAAACGACTGAAAAAGTTGATCGGGAGAAAAATTATGATGTTGCACGCTAAATCTCCAAATTGCACGAAGCGTTACGGAGCAGCTCTTAATTTGTATACACTAAGAAAAGGTTGATTTACAGTGTGTATCTTAACTTAGCACTGACATTGCATTTATGGCCACTGATTCAAGCCGGCGTTTCCGCGACACAAATTATTAGTTAGAGATAGTGTGTAGTATTCCACGTTTCGAACTCCTTGCTGAGCTGGTTTTACGGTATTACTAAGTTAAACACTGTTGTACTCAGAAGATTGTAAATTGACCGTTCATCGGTTTGTTGTGTTCCTCGATTCCATCTCTGAAGCAATTTGATCTCGCGATTTTCAGACCGTGTTTTAAGTACATCGAAGACTTAACCGCCTCTGCTGCTTGAGTTGACTTTTCTCAGTGAAGTTTTCCATGATTTATGGAACAAGAAGTCAACTTCCGCCTATATGTTTGAAAGATTTTGGCATTGTTTACTACAAACTTAAAATCGTAGCCTTCTGAGAATATTTTTGCTCATACAAACAATATTAACAGGTTTTTGTTTCATTTTTCTCCAAGAGCCATTATGGCTCTTGTTTTTCTCCGATTAAACTACCGCCACGAAAAATTACAAGCCATTGCCCATTACCTTGATGATGGTCTTATTGTTTCATGCAGTGTTCCGCTTTGAAGTTGTCGATTCAGTTATATTTCTCTTCAAAGTATTTTCCACGTAAATCATGAGTCAGAACTTCAAGTAACTCATTGGATTACTCACCAGTTGGAAGATCACCACCGACAAAGGACATCTTGAACGCTGAGTTCTCTCAGTTATCTGCACTCCAGTATTTATGAAGACGAATATTGGTCTCTATCGAGTTCAAGTCTGTCAAGAAATTCCGCTAGCTGCTGATCAATGCATTGGGGCTGAGGCAGCGTGTCGGCAGTCCTATTGGTTCGCTAACAGTCACTTTCGCAAATGCTTAACACCGTACGGCTCAAATTAAAACAAACGTCGACGGCATAACGAACAGCTTAGTAAAGGTAACAGCGTCAGTTAAGGAAGGCGTGATTATAAGTCATTGCCCTGTGTTCTAGATTACCAAAGGGTATGCCGGTGAGGCGAAACGTGTTTTAAGTCCCCTTATTGCGTCGCTCGCAGCGCCCGTGGGCAAGATGAAGCTAATCCTGTGTTCTGATTAGCTACCCCAGCGGGCAAGATGGGGCTCATCCTGCCCGCTCGGGACTGCCCGCATCCATCCTGCGCATGAAAAAAGTTGAATTCGGACTACGTTCGTAATTCTTGTACAGTCTCAGCGATCGAAACGCAAAAAGCGGCAGAAGATAGTCAAAACAAAGAAAACAGGAACGACTCTCGTGAGCTTGTTGTGCTACAAACGGACCTCAACTACGTCTTGGTCCATAAAAATGTAAAATAAGAACTCGGCCAATATACGGCCATCTCAGTTGACCTCACGCTTGGTTAATAACCCATTTGTAAAGAATACAGTCTAAGACAAAATCAAGTAATAGCATTTTTCGTAAACTTGCATCTCTTTATAATTAGTCACGGTAGCGACGATAACAGTTTTCACAGGAACATTTTTAGATGAACTTTTCATTAAGCAAACAAAATGCAACCAGAATAAGTAAACCGCCTCCCCCCTCCCTTCCCTTAACCAACCTACCCAGGTCTCCTGTTAGAAAGTTGAGGGGACTGAATCGATGCAGCGATTATAAACCTAGGGAGCAGCAGTAGCCTTTCAGTTACCTTACCCATTTAGCAAGGCTGGAGATGTGTGAGCGTGTCGGGAGTCTGGGGAAGTCATGACGCGTTTTGATGCTTCGTTCCGAGAGCCCAGCGCCGTCAGTGACACGAACTTGAAGCAGAAAGCGAGATAACGGAGCTGAAGACTGAACGCAAGGGGTCTATTTCCGTTATGGAGTGAGACTTTTTCACGGAAACCACTGTCTTCCAATTCTGTGGTCAGCTCAGGGTGGACTTTCAGGCTAGGGAAGAGTAATGGACCTGTTACTTGCGCTAAGCCGAACTGGTTTGCTGCGAAGCCCTGTGTCCAGCATTTTCACTCATTCAGTGTTGGTCTTTTTCGAGGTACTGTGATCATTAATGTCAGAATAGAACATTTGGGAGCTCAGTGTAAGACAACGCGTACTGCAAAGATGTCTGGCATCACCGCACGAAACGTTTACGAAACTTGCACAGATATCGCAACAACCAAGTCTTATTTATGCCCATGACTGAACATGCACATTAAAGGCCAGTTCCTTTGCGTTTATATAGATTCCTTGTCGTATGGCACTGGCACACAAATAGCTGACCAATATTCTAAGCCGAGGGTCTAAATGACGCAAGAGATGATAAAATGTAGCGATGATAAAATGTAGCAGCTTCAATCCATTCTGTAAGTTGTCTATCAGGTTCAAGCTGGCCTTAGTCTTTCTTGTAATTTACTATAGTAATATAGCTATAAATATATGAAAATCATATATTTGAACTGCAGTTAAAGAAACGCATATGAAAACGATCTTTGCAGTGAGGAGCACTTCTTAATTAAGCAGCAGTGAAAATAAGACCTGAAAAAAAATTCAGGCCTGTACGGGATTCGAACCTTTGACCTCTGCGATACCGGTGCAGTGCTCTTAACCAACTGAGCTAAGAAGCCAACTAGCGGCTGGTCATTATGGTGGTTCGTAATAAACCACAATATATGATTTTATATGAATATATGATTTTCATATATTCATAGCCGTTGACTCATCACCTCACAGGTTTATTAAGAACCACCATAATGGCCAACTCCCAGTTGGCTTGTTAGCTCGGTTGGTAGAGCACTGCACCGGTATTGCAGAGGTCATTGGTTCGAATCCCATACAGGCCTGAGAGGTTTAGGTCTTATTTTCACTGCTGCTTAAGAAGTGCTCCTCACTTCGAAGATCGTTCTAATATGCCTATAGTAATAAAGTTACTATAATAGTGATCAGCTGCTAGTTCAGGGAGCAAGGCTTTAAAAAAAAACTTTTGGTGCTATAAATGAAAACTGCCATTGCTTGGTTAAGGCCTCAAGTGTATCTTTAGTTATAAGTTATTAAAATACATCTGAGTTCTTATCCCTTAATTTAAACTCCCATGAGTGACCAAGACAGAATTTCTCCTTGCAATATTAATACAATATCTAGCAGACAAGTGATGAGAAAAAAGAAAAATATCAATTAGGGGATTATTAATTAAAATCCAATACCAAATTCTCCAAACTAGCATCATAAGAATTGTATGGCAGACCTCAGGAAGAATTACTTATGAGATCTTGGAAGTGAAAGGGTTTATTTAACTAGACTCAAAGAACAATTACAAATGATTAACTGAAGCTTTTTTCTATTTCTTAGTAAAAAAAAACATTTTCTTAGACTAATTATTCATCTCTTCTATTGTCACTCCTCAGGGAAAGTAAGAAAAATAAAGATAATTCCATATTCTTACAAGTTCAAAGGGAATAATCAACTTGGTAGTTTCCAACTACAACCAGTAATAGACAAAGAAAAGTACCTAATTCATCTCATATTGCAGATGCATGGTTTAAAAATGGTGACCAAAAAATTCTCCATGTATTTTAAAAAAGGTAAGGATCATTCTGGTCAGTTCCATTATCACCTGAATGAAGACCTAGCTCACAGACATGAGACTTAAATGTTTGAGTCTTGCAGTATTAATCACCATAAAAAAGCACAACATTATGAAAAATATTTTTGTAAGTTTTTTATTTCCTTGCATTCATTCTATAATTGTTTTATACTGAATTTACAAATGAAAAGTTGGTTTCCATGTCTTCTGCTATTGGGAAAAAGGGGGATTTACTGAGTGTCTCAGTAAAATGTGGTGCTGTGTCAATGGGAGGGTGTTACAAGAATGATTCGATTTTATCAACTGAGTTGAAAATGAAAATAAGCCACAGTAAAGAGTTTCTAAAGCTGACATTTCAAGCACTAGGCACAGCCAGAGCTACAAATGAGTAATGGCAGGGAACAATTTCACAGTGAACTTCTCAGGAAAGAAACAACCATGTAACCGCTATTCACTACTCAGAATTCTGGTCAAGCACAAAGAACAGTTACCCTGTCTTAAGGGAACAATTGTAATTGATCGTATTGTTAGTGTCAAGGAGACAACAATTGAGCAAAAGTGTGTTTTGGTGGAAACTTCAAATGGAAGTTTCCTTTGCCATTTGGCAAACAGATCCAAAAGAGACAAAATATGTAATTTCATCAATTTACAAATACTGTAAAGTATAAACTAAGAAACTTGTGTTTAAATAACAATAACAATGTAAATCTTCTGTCCAAACTAGCCCAAGAACACAACCCTAGCTTGCAAAATGGATTTTGGAATTCCTAGGAATTCCTTGGCATTTTTTCTTAGGAATTCCTGGGAATAAGAGGTATGAATTTCAACAGTAAATTTGGACTGGGAATTCCTAGGAATTCCAAACTACAACTTCTATGGTTCTAAAAACCTAGAAATTCCCAGAAATTCCAAGCTTATAGCCAACAGGTCTTTGAATTCTTAGGAATTCCTGTGAATTCCAACTCAGAGCACCAATGACTTCCCTGAAAGACTGTAAATCTAAAATCTTGCCAGAAATTCCTTGGAATTTTTAGGATTTCTAGTAATGTTTAAGAGTTACTGGGAATTTTTAGGAAAACTTTGAGGCAGCTAATTTAAAACAAATACATGCATTAACTCCCAAATGAAAATTCAAGTAGTAAATGAAAGTTATTTACATGCTTAACTCAGGTTTACAGGTAAAATTATTTTCTATCGTATATTAATTAACATCAACATGTAGTAATATTAATATGGAATTTGATTTCTTTTTCCTTTCTTAAAAACTCCATTAAAATCATCCTCAATATAGCAGCTATTCATTTAAAATAGTCCTAATGAATCTTCAATTTAGGTTTGACACAAATGATGTGAATAGACATTCTAAAATCTGTTGATTCTTTTCTATGATTACTACAATAAATTCAATTATATTTATTGTAGCAATAGATACTATCAGTCACAAAATAGTCTTTAAAAATGAATCATCTGATTTTGTGTGATGATACAAATGGTATTTAATCCTTTCCTCTCAGCGTCAGGCTTTGACTTGACTTAATTTTATGTGGTTGTAACTTCCAATTCCTTAGATTAAACTCTTGTGTGTTAAAATTCGAATGAAAGCTATCAAGCAACATTTTCATTATATACTGTTTGTTTTTGTTGATTCTGCAAATTGAAATTCAAAGATTTCTACTCAATTTTGACCTAACACTCTTGGGCGAGAAGGGCTTTTGAATCACAATATTTTTGTACCTGTAACAATAAATTGTAATGAAGTTATCCTAAACTGTAGACTTAGCTGCTGTTTGTCTTTTTTTTTACTGGGCTCGCAGCTTGTCAAACGTGACTAAAATGATCCTGAATTCCATTGAGCTTACTGGTAGATTTATTTCATAATTGTAAAGCGTAAGCTTAAGAAACTAGCATGCAAGCATAGTTAGAGGGGAACTATGATGCAAGTGACCGATTCAATTCTTAGTTTTTATCACGTACCAAATATCGCAATTTGTACTCACCACAAACTTGCAAATCGTAACCTTGTTTTTACCAATCGATATGTCTGGTATCCCTTCTTTTAACTCCACAGCGCCAACGACTTCCTCCTCATGTACAACCCTCACGGACCTCACGCTGTACTCCTCTTCTCATTGAGCAACAGTAAAACCCATCTGTTATAGATGTTGTATTGAGCAAAACAGTCGAGAAAAGAAATAACTTAACGCACGAGCGATCAGCGGATGAAAAGTACATTCAAAGATTAGCGCTCTTAAAATGGACTCTTCTTTATTTCCAACAAAGGGCATGATCATGTGGATATTTTGGGTATTTTCATCCGTTGGTGTAATGTTCATGATAGGTCAGCGATTATTTGTTCCGTGATCCAGGCATTTTCTTTTTTAAGAGACTTATAATAAGGCCACGTCTGAGAACCAAGTTTTGCGTTTACCGAAATTAAAGCTGTTTTGTGGAATAATTCTAGCCTGTTTTCTGCTGTGGACATCAAGAGAATCCGCTGGCGGCTGTGACTAATAGTGGGACGTGGAAGACGGGAACGTGAGACTCGGTGACGTGAGACTCGCAAATGAGAGACTCGGAAATGAGAGACTCGGAAATGAGAGACTCGGGGACGTGAGACGCAGAGAAGAGACTCGTGAGCTAGAGACTCGGGGATGCCAGGACTTGGGGACGGGGAACACGAGGGAGTCGGGAATCGGTGACGCGCT